TGAAGATACTCGTATAGCTGTGGCAATAACCAATTTATTAGGTGCTTAGTTTTATTGCGCTCTCTTTAATTAGTTATTATTAATTATCAATCACCAAACTGTATTTACCTTAATCCGGATTATGATCTTCATACTTTGGTACTATATGCGGAAACATATTTTCTTCCAGACTGAACATGTTGTTATTTATATTGATGTTCGAGTTAATAAGCGAGCCGGAGCTACAGTGTATAGTTATTACTTCCGGTCTTCCAGCTAAAAGCTCTTGTAGGCGTTCCATAGTTAACGCCTACTACGAGTATTGTTGTTGCTCCCGTATCAAGTTTATAATACCGGCGCTTGTAACGTAATATTCCAGCAAAGAAGGGAATTTATGAAAAGCTAACTTCAAGTACTCATTATCAAGGATAGTTACGTTCTTTATAAATACATTTTTAAGGCTGTCCAATTAAAATGTACTCTGACCATTTGAATGTTTTAAAATACCCTCACTAAAGAATTTTCAGAAAAAGTTTGGAAAAATATTTTTTAACAAACAACATTTACTGAAAACAATCAAATTGAAAATCTATTGCGATGGCTCCTACGTATACTGGCGTAAGTGAAAAAAACCGGCCAAGTGCGAGTCGGACTCGCGCACCGAGGGTTCCGTACAAACCTGCAAGGTTTACAAAGTTCGTTCATTACGACAATCGAGTCATAACTATGGTATTNTAGATTCTTTATTCGTAGAAAAAAAACTACAAAACTTGATGCTTGTTTTGGTCCTCAATCATTAGACATACCGAAGACTACGACTTTTTGTCGGCCGATAGTGGAGTCGCCTTCGAATTTGTATGAGGAATTGGCCGATACCAAATCGGTGTAATGTGCGCACTTCCACAGTCATGTTAATACTTATTCAAAATACCATCGATTTTGTCCTATTAATTGGTCTTTTTGAAAAACGATGAGTCGTAAGCCTCAATCGATGCTTTTTGAATCAAATGTTGAACTTTGTTCTGTAATATCACAGAATAATAATAAGTACTGTAATATGCAGTAAACCTGTAAATGATAGGTACTTGAGTATCAATAGATTCAAGGTTGGAACTCTAATATTTGCCCTATACATATAAATACGCCTTATGTAATATTTCCAGCTACACGCGTCGTCGCGTGGATCAATAAATTACAACCTACATGTGCTATTCTGATGTAGGTAAGTTACTTACATAATTGTAAAGTTGAATAAAAAAAATCCGTCAAGTTATAACTCACCATGTTGGGCGCCAATTTTAAATCCATTCCAGTAGGCACCATGAAAGATTCCATGAATATGAGTCATATTATATGACTTACTTAGTCTTCCACTAGTAATTTCAAGACAAAGACAGTACAAATTCAAGTAGTACATAATCAAAAATATTTTAAAGTCGCATCACAAGAGACGGACATCTACATAAAATTCGCCTGTTGTATTCAAACTGCTTGTCCATTTACCGCAGTAATATCGTTACAAATTCAATCGTCAATCTGAAATCCCTTCTCTAATTGTGTGAATCAATGAAGAATCTCGTAAAGGCGGGAATGGCCGCCATAAACGTATAGTGAAGCTTTATGGCGCGCCTTGTGTGGACTAGGGCATGAATATCGGAATCTCGGAATCTCGTAATATCGGAATCTCGGAGTACGAGATCCGATATTACAATTCCGATATTGAGCGACCCAATATCGTAATATCGGAATCAGATAAAGTTTTTAATTGAGATTTTAAACAAAGCGTTTAAACGCGCCACAACCTGCCACAAAGCCCAAAGTACATGATTGGCAAAGACCAATGATTTTCTCATGTCTCTCACCATCACTTTTTGTCCCACTGCAAATATTTATGGTTAATTTTACTTGTTCTAAAACAATTTTAACACTTGCCGTACTTGGTGAAAAACGACATTTCAACTCCCTTCCAAACATTAATTGGACTATGGCCCGTTAGTTCTGCGTAGCTACTATGTGCCCTGCCCATTGCCACTTCAGCTTGCTAGTCCGTCAGATTATGTCAGCGACTTTAGTTCGTTAACGGAGCTTCTCATTTCTGATTGGATCTCGTAAAGAAACACCAAGCACGGCCCTCTTCATAGCACTGCAACTTTGACGACACACACACACTGATTGAGGACTTTCGTCTTTAAGCACGAGGTATTTTGGACAAAAAGATGTTGTGTAGTTTCCCGAACGCGGCCCAGCCGAGAAGGATTCGACGATTTACCTCTTTCTCGAAATTGCATCTATGATCATCTATGAAATTGAATAGCTGAATCGTTTGTCCGAGGTAGACATACTTGTCAACAATCTCGAGAATCGAGCTCCCAACCGAAAATAGGTAGAGCGCAACATGGTCATAAGCTTTGTTTTGTCCATGTTCATCCGAAGGCCTACCTGTTGGGAGATTCAATTAAGGTCTTCGAGCATTGTGCCGAGGTCTTCCAGCGATTCCGCACTAGTTCGCAAAACTGACGGCCGATGGGGCAGCAAGGTTCTGGAATGGAGGCCACGTACCGGAAATCGCAGAGTAGGACTGCCATCCACAAGGTTGACCGACGACCTCATGCCGCTACCAACCAACCATTGTGGAAATTATTGGGGGAGGCCTATGTTCAGCAGTGGACGTCCTATGGCTGAAATGATGATGATGATGATGATGGCCCGTGGTTTTGTGAGTTGTACATCGATAATCAAAAGGAACAAATTACAAGCATATTCAAGTTTTTTTACCACTACCTAAAATTTTTGTAGCATTTGACTTGAATGACTCTACAAATCGTTCCGCCAGTATTGGTTGATGAAGTAAAAGTTTGTTTGATACCTGTTTTACAAAAACACTAAAATTCTTTGCTAGTCCATATAAGCCTATTATCAGTAACGAAATGCAATGGAATTGGATACCCATAACATACAAAAATGGTTTTAAATACTTCAATTAAGAAGTGCTGTTTTTTACCAAATTAAAGATATTGATTAAAATCATTAATTTACTGTATACAATCAAGAAATGTTACGAAAATAATCAAATATTCAATTTATAACACAAACTCAATTCCGATATTAATATCGGAATTCCGATATTGAGATCTAATATCGGAAGCCAATATCGGAATTGAAAGCCTTCCGATATTACATGCCCTAGTGTGGACCATAAAAACGCTTTCAGAGAAACATGTAGTTATGTTAGCCATCACCATTTGTGTTATTATTTTGATAGGCATACGTCTATAAATTAACATGTTTTGATTCTTGTAGAGTTGAGTTTATTTCAGAAAACCCTCTTTAAAATAATATCAATCGTCGTAATAAAATCCAAAGTAAAGGATATTGTAAAAAACAAGTTAAAGAAACTAGGTAACTAAATAAGTGTAGGTACCAGACGACATAATTAATAATATTATTTTAATTAACGGGACCTCCCACCTCTCATTCCCATGGCTGCAACTCCTGTGTAGCCAGGATAAACCTTGACCGCGGCATAAAAACCTGCCTTTAAAGGTATGTGGTAAGTAGGGATTACTAATGTTTGGCCAAAAAACGTTTCCCAAATTATCACATCGCAAACAATGTTTCGCAAATTTTCATTTGGCAAATTCTCATTTGGCAAAACATACATACAATATTTTACGATAAACTATTTACAAAATAATATAATTGTCGCATAGAATGGACTAAAAATTAGCTTGTGGTTATTATTTTGTTTAGTGGGTAGATAATATAAAATTTGTTCTAAATTAATTTTCATATTTCATTCTTTTTATCGAAATTTCCAAATGATTCATTAAACAATAGAGGTGATTCTAGCGCTCGGCGGCCGCTGCAGCGGCACGCTTCGCTCGCCTTCGCGCGTTAAGGGTCACTGTTCTAACCTAACCTAACCTACTATTTTCTGCGATACCTACTTTCTGCAACCATACTATTTTCTGCAGTCTCTTTGTTTTACATACAATTCTTGTGAAAACCTTGATCATCTGCCTTATGCTTTGATTTGTGGGTAACGGTGGGTAAGTATGTGAAGTGTCAATTTGACCAAACAAATTATTTGGGATATAATATTTGGCAAAATAAAACATTTGCTATATAAACATTTGCCAAGTAAAATTTTGCCAAATGATAATTTGACCAAATGAATTAGTTGCGAAAAGTACAGTTGCTAAAAGTTCATTTGGGAAATGAAACTTTGGCGATAAGTTGTTTGCGAAGTGAAATTTGGCGAAAAGTAATTTGGCCAAACGGAAGGATACCGGTAAGTAGCGTTATTTACCTGATGCTTCAAAATCCTAATGCAAGCTTTAAATGTAGGATATCCTTCTCTACTTGGTAATAAACGGGAATTATCCCACCAGTGCAACCAGGACCTATATTTTGACCTTCAATTAGATCTAACCAGTCAAAAGTAACTAACTCACTTGGTGATGCTGTTCTCCGTCATCATAGAGTCATAATGTAGCTTCTTCAAAAAATCCGACGGCTAAGCGAGAATATCTACCTCTTGATCCCTCACTGCCACTCCTGTTCATCCAGAATCTGCAGCTTGGTCTCCAATAAAACCCAGCTAAGAAGGTGATGGAAGGGAACCAGCTCACTCACTTGGCGATGCAGTGCTCCGTCATGGTTTAGGCCTTGAACCCGAGGATGCTGAAGACGACGACAGACGCGTAGATGGCGGTGAGCGGCTGGAGAAGCTAGGAGCTAGCTAGCGGCCGGGAGCCAGCTAGTAGCCAGAAGCCAGCTAGGAGCCAGAAGCCAGCTAGGAGCCAGGAACCAGCTAGCAGGCAGGAGCTACCTAGTAGCCAAGAGTTAGCTGAAGCTGGCTAGGAGTTAGCTAGCAGGAGTCTAGCTAGATTGTCCAAAAATTCTGCAACAAACGTGACTTATCCTACCTCCTGAATTCTCGATTCCTGGTGCATCTCTTGTACTCAAGGATCTGCAGTTTGATTGCTAAAGAAACCCAACCACTGGAAAGTGAAGGCGACTCACTTGGCGATGCAGTGCTCCGTCATGGTGTAGGCCTTGAACCCGAGGATGCTGAAGATGACGACGGACGCGTAGATGGCGGTGAGCGCGTTGCACACGGAGACCAGCAGCACGTCGCGCACGCAGTTGTTGTTGGGCGGGTTGTATGAGCCGAACGCGATCAGCGAGCCGAAGGCCAGGCCGAAGGAGTAAAACACTTGGGTGGCTGCGTCCAACCAGACTGTAGGTTGGAGCAGCATTTCCAGCTGTAAAAGAATAATGAACATTTCTATTGTATTACCCAGTCAGAATGTTAGTTATCATCATATCCATCTAGCTAAAGGGAGCATCGTCGTAACAGCGTCTACGGGACTAGTACCAACTTCTCGTTCCCACCGCTGCAACTCCTGTGTAGCCAGGATCTACAGCTTGACTGCCAATAAAAACCCAACCAGTGAAGGCCAAGTTTGTCCCGGGGGAAAGTTAAACTTTGAATGGACCCGCAACGAAATTAATCAGAAGAACTTAAGGAGGAGTTCGAAGTTAGGCTTCGACTTCCTTTCTTTCATATCCTACTAGTGAAGGTTGAGAAATCCCAGGAGAAACAGGTGGGAATTCAATGACAAGAATGGGGTAGCGTCTAGCCATACCATATCCAAGTAGCTTATTATCCAGCTCTGAAATGATGATGGTTAATAAAAACCACATTTAACTTTAACATCGTAGGTTACCTATTTAAAAATTACTATACCTAGTTACCTACTCTTTTTAACACATACCTTCGGCTTATACATGTGAATGACGCCGTCTGTCGACCCTGGCAGGGTGATGCCTCTGATGAAGAAGATTGTCAACACGACGTACGGGAACAGAGACGTGAAGTATACCACCTGAAACAAAACACAACCTTTAAGTGGGACTAATCAATTATGATTTTATTTTCATAACATTGCTACAGTTCCATAAAATTAGTTTATGTTACACTTTCTGTCAGAAGGACCTGCTTTCAGAATGCTAAGTACAACAGGCTGGATATTGATAAAAAAATATTGATAACATCAACATTTTCAAGTTCAACACTGCAAGCCACTATGTAACCTTGACCTAAAGTACTAAGTAAGTTTGACTGCTGATAACTAATCCGGAATCTGGAACTACTAGTAGGGTTTTGTCTAAAGATATTATGATCGCACTGAACATCACCAACCTTCCCACTGCTCTGGATGCCCTTCATCACAATGAAGAAGACTATAATCCAAGCCAGTAGCAGATAGAGGACGATCCACCACCGAGGCACGCCCGGCTCCTCAATGCTAGGGGCTGCGTCCAGAGCCTCGCGGTACCAGAAGTAGACCGTCGCTGTAGCCTTGGTGCACTCCTCTTCCGCTGTCCCGTTGTCTTGGGGACAGTGGGCCCAGGGGAGCTGGTCCGCTGTCAGCTGGAGAAAAAATATTACTTGTCAGCTGGAAAACTGGGTAGCTAAAGGTAAAAGATGAAGGATGAACAGCATCATCTCTTAAGCCAGTAGATGTTCATTGCTGAATGGAAGCCTCCAATGCTTGCAAAAAGGTCCATAATGGCTTGCATCCGTGACTCTATAATTTTACGTTTCTCATAGTCTTCATCAACAAGCATGTTTATCTATAGACGAGTGACTTACTATCACTGTTCGATTTTGCAATATCCTCACCCAACAGATCACATTAAGGGAGATGTGATAAGGGGGCGGAGCCAGTGTCGCAGCAATATGCCCAAAAACAGAACACATTGCTACGCGACGAGCGACGTCATAATGTTAACAGTTTACATTGCTTGCGTAGTACTAAAGATTCTTCGAACGTTGAGTACTGATACCGCAGTGGATAATGAGCACATATTTTGATTACTTAGTGTGTGTGAATTTCTAATGCGACACTGAGTTTCGAACTCAGCGCATTAGTTGGCATCTCTCTGTATCTCTATGACTCACCCGGATGCTATTGAACAGGTAGAAGAACACCCAAGTGATGATGACGTTGTAGTACAGAGCCACGAACAGCGTGACCACGCAGCTGGAGATCCCAATGCCTCCTAGCCAGGGGTGGATGGTGTTCCAGACGCCCAGGGAACCCAGACGCATCTTCTGCCCGATGGCCATCTCGATCAGGAAGAGCGGGATGCCTTCCAGGATCAGCATGATCATGAAGGGAATCAGGAAGGCGCCTTTGAACAAAAATTTACCAATGTTTTGACTCTGGAGCAGCGTTACTATAAGATAGCAGAATATTTCTCAACATGTTCATTGAGCATGCAGCATCCCCCACCGATGGGGTATCTTCAGTTTTCAATGGCATGCTATATTGAGTCATCTGGGTTGGGTCCTCAGCAAGTTTATAGGATAGTAGGTTTTTGAAATTAATTCAATGTGATAGGTATAATTTTTATGAATGAATCAAAAAATAATTAAACACTCTTCAATTCTGTAGGTATGTTGAGATTTAGGAGAGTGTTTTATTGTACATTATGACCTCGGTATAATAACTTAGTAATAAAAAATTCCATTAAACTTTTCTACGGTAAATTGTACACTAAAAGACGAATTCTATGCAGGCTTCGCCGGTCGTTCACTGCAGTGTTATTTATTTTATTTCACTTATTTTTAACTGATTTTAAAAAAAGGAGGAAGTTTTTATTTCATTTGTGTTCAGTTCCGGCGAGACTCATGTAGGAACCATTAACATTGCCAAATTAAACCTAAAACTCGGCACAAAAAAGTTTCCAGCCCAACCTACTTCATGACGTCATTTATAGGTCAATTAAAACACACCAACAACGCTCTAAAAGCTCTTTTATTTTACCAGAATGTGTAATGTCGGTCAAATTATTTACGAAGGCTACAACTAGGCATTGTATTCGGGCTGAGAACTCCCCCGGGAGAGATGGGAACGTATTTTTCATTCTGCTCTGAAGAATACTGAAAAATTCAGGGGAACTTCTCTCTGGAGACAATGCTACATGTCTAGCAAATTGCCAAGCTCTGAATGTAGCTATCTAGTAGTAACGTGTGCATATTATATTTAGGGAGGTACAGCTAGCAAGCACGAATTTTCGATATAGATACTTAGTTCTGAATTCAATACCAAAGTGGACAGAAAAAAAAGTGAATAATCAGGTCGACTGAATAAGATGGCATAATACATAGAATCCATTGCAAGGATAGGAAAGTTTAAAAAGAGCCCAAAGCGCGCTCAACTATTGCTTTAATTTATTTTGTAACATCCACATGTACCGATGCTTAGATAGATACATTAATAAATAAATAAATAACTTTATTTCAGTATGAAAGTTATGTTTGTAACATTATAGTTTTGCAATAAATTACTAGTATATTCTTGAGTATTTATAGTTCGTAAGACGGTAAGTAAAACTGTAAGTATGTAATCCGCTTCTTGAAATTCTTAAGTACCTGCTGATTTAACTTATGTAAGAATTACGTAACGCACACGTTGAGTTAAACCTGCATCATAGTTAAAATAGAACAAACTACAAAAATGTACCGTCAACTGTATACAATGCAAATGACGTCATAAAACAAAACAACATTATGTAAATCGCAATCAAGCGGCAGATGTCGTAGACACCCACGCTACGAGCTACGGCGTAGCCCGTAGTCCGTAGTCCGTAGCTTCGGATCAATAGTCGACGCGAAAGACCTAAAAATAAACCACGTAATTTCGGTACTGATTTCAATGAAAGCATGCTGTCTTCTTTTGATATACGGGATATAAAAGAGACGCCATTGAAGTTTAAAATGGAATGCTAAAATTGACTTCATTGTTTTAACACATGTTTTACGGCATTAATTAATATTTATTTATACTTTTTAAAGAATGTTTCAATTATCACAAATGTTTACGTAGTAATGGAGGTGTATTGACTTATGGCAGGCCTGGCTCACTCCGCGCGGTACATCCGATAATTACCTACAGCGAAGCGCCCCGCCGCGCCGGCGGGTATTATTATCAGTCGAGTGTCACGCGCACGCTCGTCAGGACGCTGGCGCGTGGCGTGCGTTGTAGTAGTATGATTATTATTCTATGATCGAAGTATTATTTAAAAATGGACATAAAGAGAAAGAAATATTGTGCGGCGTTCGGGTGTTTAAACGAAAAGTAATCTACCGGATTTATCTTTTTTTTTCGCTTTCCAAAGATTCTGAAGGGTATGTTGGCCATGTAGGTAATCAATAATTCTTAGGATAGTATAGGAACCTAACCTACTATGAAGGATTTCCATAATGAACGCATACTTACCTACATACGTACCTCATTACAAATAAGTAGATTAATTATTTTTTCACTAGACAGCAACCCTAACAGCGTAAGAAGAGTTCAGAGGCACGCGATAGAAAGAGACAAAACTTGTAGGTGAATAAAATTGTAGGTACGTAGTGCTGTGCGAGCTGAATTCCACTGTATCGCGTCGTAGCAAGACTCGCATTTATTTAAATCGTCTTGCGGAGTAATCCTTCTGTACCTGTACTATTACTTATTCTGTGCTTATGGTTATTACTATTACTAATTATCAATTTTTGAACCGAATAAAATAAATTGATTGTAAAACAAATGAATAATGTTTTACCTTGTCTTGGTGAATAAATGATCTTTAATCTTTCTTTAATCTTTTAAACCAGGGAAAACAACGTTACTTTTACGATGTTTGTTCCTTCTTCAGGAAAAGACAAATAGACAGATTTTGATGCCACTTCAATAAGTTATAGCATGAAATGTGTTTTCAGCATTAGTACACAAAAAGCAAAAAGTGAGCATATTAAAAAATACATCTAATTGAACAATTAAGAAAGGCAAATAATCATAAATTGGAGGTAATTATCATCTATGCTATTGCTACGAGAAAGAAACTTTTTCTAAGATTTTTTTATCAACATGTACTTAATTTGACCCTTAGTTCAGGTTGTATTTGCATGACACGTAATTAGTAAAGTCGAGCACGTGCTAATTAATGTAATGGTACTTATCCACGTTTCCAACAAGAGTTAACGACCCCTGATATAAATTACATGCTCATTTATGTGTGTAGTGACGTAACCTTGCATAATTTATTTATTCACTAGATTGGATTTGCGAAGACTACTTGCTCGCGCGACGTCACACACGTTAATCTTTGGAAGATGATAAATTATACAACATGCTCTTTTTGAGTACCTGGAACTCTAGGGTATTAATAAGACCACTTCAAAGAATGGAATGGTATTACATTTTTTGTTATTCAACAATTTTTTTCGACTTATTTTTTCATACGAAATTATTTAAAAACTTAATTTTTCACTGAAATAATTCATAATTTTCATACACTTATCAATAAAAAGTCTGCACAAAAAGACTAGGTGACCATTTTGAAAAAAAAAACTAGATAAGGAGCACGCGTTGTATAGCTTTCCTACATAAAGATCAAAAGCGATGTTACGGTGAGAAAGATAGTATAAGAGAGTCTTTCTCTCTATATGTAATCTCGCTAATCTTAAATGCTCATAAAACTTATTAAACTATTACGTAACTAGTTAACCTACGACTATTCCCACTACACGTCCCCTTACAGCTCAACTACAACTGTAATTAAGGCTGAGTTAGTCCCAGAGGCTTTAACCTAACTTATTTGGATCAGAAACCAAATTATTCAGAAGATAGGAGAAGTTGTAAACTGATTGGTATTACATATTAAGTTCTAGATCTAAATATACAGGGTGTTGATTTCAATCCTCGCCATAGGTATTTAGGGAGTTGATTAACACGTTGGACGCCACGCGGCTCACCGGTGAGCCTCGAACAATACAATTTCCATTGTGTCTAGCGTCTCGGCGTTCAATGACTTAAGTAGCCTATTCTGATCAGTAAAAAAAATTAAAACAAACTTTAACTTTAGTTACTAAAAATACCTATTTACACTACCTACTTTACGTGGATTCCTTCAGTAGGCTATCCGACATGATGAGCGAGCGTTCCGCGTATTTCGATGGTGCCGCAGTGTAAACGTATTGCAGTATTGCGAGCCACAGTACAGTTGATGTCGCACGGAAAATATTCACTAAAATCCACTTTCGTTTCTATTTTTTTTTATGGATAATGCGTTTATATAAGGCATAATAGCCTAAATAAATATGGCAAGAATTGAAATCAACACCCTGTAATAGAGAGGGTTAAAACTTAAAAGTTCAAAGGAAAAAGCTTATTTAGTTCACAAAAACAAAACTCACCTCCGCCATTCTGCTGGCACAAATACGGGAACCGCCAAATGTTTCCCAGCCCGACCGAGTACCCGATGATGGACAGAAAGAACTGCAGCTTCCCGGACCACGCCGCCCTGTCCGGATCGTCCGGGGCATCCCTCTGCAAGGACCCCCGGGACCCCTGAAGAACTATAGTGACCCCATGGGGCCGCTCACTCCCATCTGCCCTCGTATTCAAAGGCGCCAACTCATGCCCATTTCTCGGACCAATCGGCTCAGCCTTAGCCGCCATCTTGGATTTATTACGCGCGCAAAATTGACGTTTGTTTTCTTAAATACAATGGCAATGGAATTGATACGTGACGATTTATCTAATTAGATTTATTATTGTCTATTCAAGCGATAGTTTTCAGTTTAACGAGATTTTTCGAGTGATAATCGTTACCTATAAATATGTTCATAATATTTAATACTAGGTTTGGTGTATTTCGTAGTCATACGTGTAGTATCGGATGGCGTCTTTTTTTACGAACTCAGCCACCTTAAAGTATGTTGTTGTCCTTTGCAGTAGCTTTTGGCGTAGTTTTAAGGAATCCCTGAAGACGTTAGAAGCGTCTCTGTGCATAAGTATGAGTTGGTTTTTTGTCACTCGTCCGTAGAAGCAAGGGTCATTTCGTGGACAAGATTAGTGAGGGTTAGCGGTCGGGCATTTTAGTCGATGCCCATGTTGGTGAAGTTCCTGAAACAAAAAAAAAACAAGTTACTACATATTTTGGAACATCCTGACAGCTCACATAAAATTGAGTTGAGAACAATGTTGCTAAGATAGATTGACTACTTTGGGTACTCCAACAATATGCTTACTTTAATTGGGTACATTAATATGAAATATTGAATATCAAATCATTTTGGCTATCTTAGACGCTTCGATCTATCTGACGCTGACTGTACCTAGTCAGTCTAAAGTCTAATATCATGAAAATGAAAGATAATAAATCAAGCCAAAAGAACTTATAAAAACGTCAAATTGAAAATAAAAGCAAATTATTTTCCAGCGAAATGAAAACCTCTCGGAGGTGGCTCCAATAGAAAGCCCTGGCAAATGCCCAAAATGGCGATATCGTTCGCATTGCAGGCTATTACACTAAGAGGTACTTTTATTTTCGATGTGGTAGCGATCGTGGGAAAATATTTCAAACTAGTGTTTACCCGTGACTTAGCGCGCGTAAATAATAATATTCCGTCACAGATTCACAGAAAAACTTTATCGCGCGCGTACCTGTTGCAAAAACCGGGATAAAAACTATCCTATGTCTTTTCCCGGGACTCAAACTATCTCTATACCAAAATCAAAATCGGTTCAGTCGTTTAAGCCTAACAGACAGACTGAGTTACTTTCGTATTTATAAATATTAGTAGGGATAGATACAAGTTCCTAGTATTATAATGTGTATGCTTAGAGAAAGAAACACTTTGAAGTTATATTACGTGCTAACTGACAACTTCAACAGTTATTTTCTAATTTTCATATTATCTAAACCTGGTATGCCACTAGATTTTTAGCAATGCCATTCAACTCTACGATTAAATAAAGTATTTAAAAGTTTTGTTCTTTACAGCGTAATCTTAAGTATTTTAGCATTATGTAATTTTAAGGACCTAACCTACCGAAAAGGTTACGCGTTGGTAAATATAGATATTTATATTGCACTTTTTTTATCAACAACGAGGAAGCTCTTGGCCTGTATATCTCACCTGATGGTAAGTGACGATCCGAATGTGGAAGCGAGCTTCACCCGGAATGCTCAACCACAGAGGAACTGCTATCTTACCTCTAACTGCCGGAACACAACAATGCTGTTACATTGTTGTTATGGCGACAGACTTACTTCCATTAGGAAGCCATAACGGACTTCTTTTGTATGTTTAACCTTTCCGTCAAGTTTATTTTTAGTCTCACCCTAAAGTTCTAACATTTCGTCAGCCCGATCTTTCAAAACCCTCACAATTCCCCCTTTGAATCATTCTTCGTTACCTTTAACCCTTTGCATAACTCCAACACAATTTACAAGTACGTACAAATGACAACATCCGACAGCTTATTAGTGTTAAGCCTTGTTCGCACTGGTCAAGTAATTTAGTAACTAAACGTGTCTGAACACGAAACATTTAGGCTGGGTTGCACCATCTTACTTTAACTTTGACAAACGTCAAAAATCTGTCAAACTTCATACACTGTTATATGTAATACACTGGTTATCGTTATAGTTACGCGCAAAGTTAGGTGGTGCAACTCAGCCTTAGTCGAGTAGGTTATTAGGTATATCGTTTAGTCGTGCCTATCCATTTTGTTTTATTTTCACAGGCAAGTAGTAACACCATCACGCGATACTGCTCACTCACTCATCAGGTAAGTATACCTAGTAGGTACCTAAGCGATTCCGAGCTCGGCGGTTTATTTGAGTTCATTAAAACCACTAATTAACTGTAGGTACTAGACCAAAGTGTTTTGGTCAGTAGCGAGTGGTTTAGTTACTATACAAATTGTATTTACTCTGCTAAAAGCGAGTTACCTACTCTACTTAATTACTAGACTAGTGCGATAAAGTGCGATCGATTTTTTGAACAGTAGCAAGTTAGTTTAGTTAATACTAGCGGCCGCCCGCGACTTCGTGCGCGTGGATCTCGTTTTACCCCCCCCTTCATCTATCTTACGCGGTTCAGATTTTTTCATACAAATGTTTTTTCCCGCTAACTCCCGTTCCCGTGGGAATTTTGCAATATCCTGTTGTAACTAAGCTTTAAGTTTACTAAGGTACCTGCATGCCAAATTTCAAGCGTCTAACTTAAGCGGTTTAGATTTTTCATACAAAAGGATTTTCCCGCTAATTCCCGTTCCCGTGGGAATTCCTAAGTATCCTATAACCTGCCCAGGAGTATGAAGAATAATTGTACCAAGTTTCGTTAAAATCCGTCAAGTAGTTTTTGTTTCTATAAGGAACATACAGACAGACAGACAGACAGACAGACAGACAGACAAAAATTTTACTGATTGCATTTTTGGCATCAGTATCGATCACTAATCACCCCCTGATAGTTATTTTGAAAATATATTTCATGTACAGAATTGACCTCTCTACAGATTTATTATAAGTACATAGATAAATTTCCCACTAATTTGGCAACTATTTCGCATCGATCAAAAAAATAATTTCGTAAATCGGTTCAGAAATCTCGCGTCATCTGTCTACATCCTTACATAAAAAATCAACCGAATTGAGAATCTCCTTCTTTTATTGAAATCGGTTAAAAAGCGAGTTACTCTACTAAATTACTTGACTTGCGAACGAGGCTTCGAATTTGAGACGTCTAGGGCAAAATCCGTGTCAAGGACGACCGACTTAGAAGGGGTCTGGCCCCTCCCTACGAGGGTCCCTTCCGAGGGGTGCCTTAATGCCCTTTGATGTACAGATCTCCTTTCTAGATTTAAACTAGGGTTCTTTTCAAGTTAGCCAGTTGTTATTTTTTTGCCAGCCCGATTGAATGATTAAAGTTGGAGGATTTAAAAGTACGTTAAACTATAGAATAATACCGTACCGCGCGGGAATAACTTGACATCTCGACCTGCACTTTTTTTTTTTTATTAGCTTAAGCGCTTCCTCTACCTTATACCCTACTGGTATAAAAAANATTGAAGAAACTAGGTATTTGTCAGGTATACGATAATTATTAAAAGATGATTTAAGAAAATAAAAACATGCTATAAAATAACGTATTACCTAATTAAGTTAGGAAAGTCATCATAAAAATTTAAAAAATGAAAAAACTAGATTTGTTAAAAATATTATGAAAAAAAAAGTCACCTTACTGTAGTACCTTAGGTGTCATTATTTTGTATGTGTCATAGTCAAAGGTCGATATGCAGTCTCTTCGCGGAATGACTGGTCTATCCTAGGTTTGACCAAGGCCTTCAGGCAAACCCCGAAGTAAATTCTTATTTCGGCCTTTGACTAAGTCAAACCTAGAAGTGCCTAAACGGTTCAGTCAAACGTCGAAACTAAAATAATCTGTTTCGGTCTTTGCCTAGTCAATCCTAGAAACGACTGACAGACTCGGTCAAAAGTAGACGGCAAATAGAAAACCAGCCATGTGTGAGTTGGACTCGCTCACAAAGGGTTCCGTGCGACTCTTTTGTTGTATGGGAGCCCCCTTAAATATTTATTTTATTATAATTTTATGATTTATTTTTAAAATGCAACTAAAATTATGTGAATATTTCAAGGGTTCACCTGTTTACGTTTTAATTAATATCAAGTAAAAAACTGCAACAGGTCAGGTTTGCTGTATGGGAGCCCCCCTTAAATATTTAAGTATTTTATTGAATTATTTATTTTTTAAGTGAATGATTCATNCTAAATTAAGGCATTCTATCAAAAATGAAAACAACCCAAGTTTCAATAACTACTCCTGTAACTTTGGTTTCTACATATCAAATAATCAATTTCATTTTCAGTGCCAAAGGCAAGAATAATTGCCCACGCCAGATGGAGACCCAGCTAAATAATGTAGTAACAGCGCGTGGTCGTGTGATGAGGGTTCCTTGACTTGAGTTCTGGCGCAACACGTCCTGAGCCCCGATTACGGTAATTTTTAACGTCAACAATCCAGACACGCTTCTCGATTCTGCGATACGATTGGTCGTTCAACAGCGCACGTCAGCTGTTTTGACCAATCGTATTGCAGAATCAGAAACGCATCAGAAACGCGTCTGGATTGTAGACGTTAAAAGTTACCGTAATCGGGGCTCTGGGCACTAACATAACAACATAAAAAAACCCTGGCATAGAGGCGCGTCAATTGCATTTGATAGTGCAACACTGAGTACAGTCGTACCTGTGTTAAATTAATAGGCTCACTTTATGTATAGCCTGACCAGGAACATAAAAACTAGTGACCGACCGAATATTCGTTTTCGTTTTCGTTTTCGGCCATTTTCGGCTATAAAATGGACATTCGGCCATATTTTCGTTTTCGGCCAAAAACCAGCCGAAGCTTCGGCCAAACCGAATATCAAAAATACGCGAATAAGATGGTGACGTTTATCGTTCCGATATCTTCGGGAGTGAATCTGGTGCACTCATGGTTCCAATCAGACTTGAACGGACGCGGTATTGTCACACTCTTTTGAAGTTGTGAAGTGAGGTTACGTTGTAAAGGGTGTCCAGCGACAATTTTCCAAGTTCAAAATTGAATACAATAAACCCAAAGAGTTTTCATTAAGNAGGGTTATCCATTGTTTTTGGGACACCCTGTATTTTTCAACGTAAAGAGACTTAAATGACAACGTAAATATAATATTTTAAGCGATTACTCTCTTTATTTATGCATGTAATTATTTTAATTGTTATCATGTGCTATATCAATAATAAATCAGTTAGAAAAAGTTGTTAAATGTATCATTATTAAGTTTTAATGCAAATACGCCCATAACTATACTGTGCTCGAGATTTAGTTAGGTCTTTTAACATAATGTGTCATATTTTAAAAAAATATAAATAACTTGAAAAAATCGAACTGCCTAAGGCGGGAATTAAACCCACGATGCCTTAGGCAGTTCGATTTTTTCAAGTTATTTATAATTTTCAAATTAGTTTGAGATGCGACTCTTAACGCTAAAAATTAAATAACTATGTAATGTGTCATAATTTATAAATAAAACAATATGCTAAATATTTTCATGGCTTTATTTAAGATTTGGATTATAAAAAATATATATTTATGTAAGCAACTACTCGTATAGATTGACGAATCGTATGATAGGGCTTTATACGTGGCGTAGTTTTGCACATACGCCTATTTGCCTAAAATTTTATTTTGTATCTAATGGAAAAAATTTTTTTTTTCTTACTAACGTTATAGATTAAAGCAAAGTGAAATCATTGATTAAATAATTGGAAAAAGGCGTGAGCGGCAGTTTCGCCTTTGTACGTAGGAGCCATTTTGGTCGAACAAACTTGGAGCACATGTTGTTAACACAATATGTAAGTATCATTTTCAATTAATATGTTCTTGGAACGCTATAGAAAGTTTTTAGAAAGTTAGGAACACGTCTTGTTACATATTTTTCCCCTGAATAATATCTAGACGCTTTCTATTCATCAAGGTCTGTATCCATAGCTGTAACTCACAACCTATAATTTGCCCAGGATATTTAATTTTGATTCCGAGAAAAATTAATTATCGTTACAAAAGCAAAAAGACCCTTCATGAATCGAGTATTTAATTATCTGACCTTTTTTTTCATTAAGGTTGTTTTTGTGATTTTGTCAGTTTGGAATGAGTTATTGCAAAAAAATGATATTGTACTCGTAGAACCTTCGGTTTATTTTCGTTTACTTCTTATTGTTTTTCTGAAAAATGTAATTTGTAATAACAGTTTTACAGGATTCAGTAGAGAAATTAATAAAGGACACCATCCATTTTGGTCCAAAATCAAAAGTGCCGGCCAAAAAATAAAAGTGCTGTATTACATACAGCACTTTTTTTTGTTGGCCGGCACTTTTGATTTTGGACCAAAAATATAAAATATATGAAACGTGGATGATGTCCTTTCTTACAGTCATGTCATGTCAGAATCCCACAATATCGTTGGAAGCTAGTACATCTCTTCCTAATTAAGTAGTTAGCATTCGCATAAGGGCCGTAAACTTTGACCTCGGAATTTTTTTGACAATGCATTGTTGCCAACAATAAAAATCGTACAAGCAACTTCCTCAGTTCATAATGGAAAAGATTTTTCATAAGCTTCCGACGTTTTTGTGAAAATTCATACCCGTCTTAAAATATTCGTAAACTAGCTTTCCGCCCGCGGCTTCGCCCGCGTGGAATTTTGTCTGTCACAGAAAAACTTTATCGCGCGCGTCCCTGTTTCAAAAACCGGGATAAAAACTATCCTATGTTCTTTCCCGGGACTCAAACTATCTCTATGCCAAATTTCATCAAAATCGGTTGCGAGGTTTAAGCGGGAAAGCGTAACAGACAGACAGACAGACAGACAGACAGACAGAGTTACTTTCGCATTTATAATATTAGTTGGGATTACTTTGGTAAGAGTCAAGTTTAAAGTAAGTAATTTTAACTAACTTCAAAACTTGTTACGGTTGTTGGTCGGGTCGGTACACGGAATTTTCTTAGGCTGAGTTACACCACCTAACTTTGACCGTAACTATAACGATAACCACCAGTGCTTTTTGTATGGAGATTGACAGATTTTTGTCTTTTGTTAAAGTTAAAGTTAGATGGTGCAACCCAGCCTTAGAAGTACATTTTTGAACAGTGTTCCTTTGTTTGGCGAGTTAATCTATCACAAACTAACTAGTATCTTAGTTATTTTCTAATTACTGTCAGAAACTTAAGAGGCGAAATCTATACCAAACAAAGTCGGGTTAGTTACGCCATTTATAACTCAAGAACTGCTAGACAGATTTTGATGAAATTTGATATGGTGGCAGCTGACACCCTGGACTAATATAAATAGGCTATTTTTACCCGACAACCCAAAAAAGGAGGGTGTTGTTTTTAGTGTAATTAATAAACTAAGGGTAGAAAACTGGGCCTTAGGCTGTACGTAGTGTGCCAGGTCAGCTAGTTATTCAAGTATTTTGATTGCAATTCTAAGTCAACGATGTTGTTTTCTCCATTAACACATAAACTGGAAATGATTTAGTATTGCGTTGATTCGGAACCATCCATCAAGCGGTGTCACGCACAAGTGATGCGCTGACACATTGAGGCAATGAATTAATGATGGATAGCATTCATTAACCGGATATTCTTTGGGGCCAAACATAGATAGAGTTCGGATCGCATAGCATTTGTCTAAACAAATAACTGATTTGTGAGCTATCTTATGAATAAATTACGTAAAAAAAATATTCAAAAGACAATAATATTGTGCAATCGTTTGCTCTATCATACGGAACTGAGACATTAATACTACGCAATGCACAAATCAAATGAATTGAATAATTTAATAGCTTATTACGCCGTAGAGTCGTCAATTGGAATGAAAAATGACACAAGTATGTTAGTCTCCATCTACCTAGTGGCTCTCCAGAACGAACAAAAGCAATCGATCCAAAGGATAAGAAGTTAAGTGGCAATGGGTAAGACTCTTTGCTGCAGATTGTCAGTAGGGGTAGATCTAAGGGTTTTTGAGTAGGTACCTACGAGTAAAGCCGCTCGACGGCATCCTTACAATTATTAGCTGTAGGTAGGTACCTTTACCTTCGTGTCATTGCAAGATCAGGTATGCAACAGTGATCTCAATTGTCTTTCTTTTTAAATTACGAGTTAGTAGTAACTATCACTTACATCGTCTTGTTGTTAATATTAATGGTTTTGAATTTTCTTCAGATTCTGTGGAGTAGGATAAGGTAAGACGAGCTACGAGTATATTCAGAGTAAATAATGGACACTTACTTAATAGCATTAAAGCGTTCTGTAACCAATCACTTAATAAATAAAAGTACCGACTAATTTTTATAATGATTTGCGTTGATGACTTAAGCACATGTTTTATTATTTTAAAAAGAAAAAGCCAGGAATAAAAACAGTAAGCTAATTTACGAAGAACTTAAAACAATCGCCCGTCCGCATAAGAATGGTCTGCCTGGCTAACAAGATGTAGAGAGTCTCTAGCACACTTCACTACCCCGTGTTTTGTCGAGACACAATTAGATGAATATGTGGAACACACTGCCCTACGAAGGAATGTAAGTAAGTCACTGGTCTAAATATTTCATTTATTAAATTTTATTGACAAAACCGGTGTATTAAAATTTACTTTTATTGATAAGTTGTAGTTAACCGTGTAGGTATTCAAAAACATTGATGACTAGAAAGCTAAGTTATGCAACAAATGCTATGAAAGACTAGGAGGATATTATAAAACTTTTAGAAATAACTGACTAATTTAAAACCTTTTAACTACAGCAATCATAAGCTAAAATTTATTATCATACATTCAAACATAGTAATTTTTTAAAAGCTTTTCTAAATTCAATGTTAAAAATAGTGTATATCAACGGATTTACTGTAGAATTTAAATAACCTAGCCATGTTATAAAGTTCACTAGCCTATTGCTAGGACAACAAACCGGACAAAAGGGTAGCATTAAATACATTAAGAAAAATGGTAACCAACAAACTACAAATACGCCCATAATAATCCCGAGCGTTCGCGCTGCTCTCCTTTCTTTAGACAATGAAATCTTTTGTTTTTGCTCGACGAACTGATGCACTACATCACCGCTGTTATTTACACTTGCTAACAAACCCTTACCCTGCTTCTTCCGTTTCTGACTTAACTTCTTAATTGACCCCACGACTTTTGTGGTATAATTACTGGGCGTAACTCCGGGTTGTAGAGCCATATCACTTTCAATCCTTTGACGGGACAAAGGGTCGTTTAGTAGCAAAAGAGGCACAAAGAAGTTTTTCTTCATATCCAAGAACGCTTTCTTGTGGCGCTTTATACTCTCCCCACTATCAGAATCGTTTTCAGACTCTTCCTTATTGTCTAAGCTTTCATCTTGGTTATCAATCACTGGCCGTTTTTGAATTCTAGCTGCCCAATTATTACGTTTTCTTAACCGTGCTTTGGCAGCAGTGTATATTTTTATGTAGACTATCGCCATTATAATAAGAGGGATGAAAAACGACCCCAATGATGAATACACGACGTAACCTTGTTCGGAAGTTAACTGGCATGGGGTATCAGAAGTGAATTCGTCAGGCCAATCATTCCATCCTAAAAGTGGGGGAGAACTTATGATCAACGATAGCAACCAAACTCCAGCAATTTGATACAGCACTCTAGCCAATGTTCTTTTGCTAGCGTAGTTAATTGGGTCTGTGATAGCCCAATATCTATCTAGAGCTATAGCACAAAGGTTCAGTATGGAGGAAGTACAAGACATAATGTCGCAAGTTAGCCACATCTTGCACAAATGCTTTCCCCAAAGCCACCGCCCTAAAGTTGAATAGGCAACATTAAGCGGCATTACCAGCACAGCCACCGCCAAATCGGCCGCAGCCAAAGACACTATGAAGAAGTTTTGCATTATTCTTAACGGTTTGTATGTGAACACTCCGAGGATTACGAGAATATTCCCGAAAATGGTACACAGAATCACTGTTGACAGAAAAATAACTGTGGTGAAAGCTTCCCATTCGGGCACAGCTATTTCAAGTCCAAAACTTGTGTTGAAGTAAACAATATCACCAGCGATATCACATATTTGTTCTTCGAGTGACGAATTCGCTTCAATAGTTCTTTCAATGTCTTCGTATTCTACAGTGAAGTTACTAACTTCGTCCTTCAAAGCGATTAATTCGCTCTTCATCGCCATAATTTTCACTCCCAATAGATCTTAATAAGGTTCTTGTCACATTTTGGGTGACACTTCTGAAACAAGATAAACGGTTTAATTTTATTATAATACAGGAAATTGTGAGCTAATTACAGCTTATAAAGTTAAAATACTATAAATAACTTCAATTAAATACTTACACAAATGAAAAGTTTTCGCCTCAGAATAATAATTAACTCGTCTTTCAACAATGTTCATAGGTATTTTCTTACAGGCTATGTAACTATTTATTTAGCTGTAACCGAGAAGATCCGCCACAAACGTCTCGCAACGGACTGCGAGGAAAAAGATATTTTCGTGTTTCATAACAAGTCGTCGTGACCCAGGAGGGCTTGTGCATGGATGTCTAGGTAAAGTTGTAGGTAGGGAAGTCGTTCTAGACACAAAGGCGCACCCCGATTCACTGAAAACAGCCCGCTACAGAGCGGAGTTATTAAAACTATCTGCGTTACAAAAATATACCTAAGTAGATAGGTCTAGGTGGGCATAAAAATTAAAATTCTTACTGAAGTAATTTTGTAGGCTTAAAGGTACTATAAGACATTATTAGACTTGCTAATCAAATAACCCATAAAAATTTATAAGTTCGTCATTCTTATAGCACTTTCTAAAAACTTTTTAGTGCATAATTAACTAATAAGGTCATTGAAATTTAGACTTGATTTATGGATAGCTTTATAATTTTATGTGTTTTTATGTAGGTACCTATAGTTAGTTGAAATCAATATCCTTTGAATTTTTAGAATTCAGTAAGGGATCAAGATAAATAAAGCTTTTATAAAATGTAGACTGTACACAAATACACCATGGATCGCCTATTACAAAGATAATAAAATTTAAAAAGGTTTAGGAAAACCATTTCATACAGTTCCTCTATCATTTCTCAGTAATGTGGAACAGTAGGTACTTACTACCTTTTTAATAATGAAGACTTTAAAGAGGTTTTCCGTGTGACCGATCTACGAAGCGTTCGTAGCAATTCGTAGCCGCGGCGGGCATCAGTAAAGTACAAGTAGAGCACATTAACCTCCTGGGGCCCGGGAATTATTTTTATCGTGAATTCATATGAAAACTATCCAAATAGTATTAATAATTGATATAATTATCTTAAAAAATAAAATTAAAAAATTTATCTGGAAAACGGCAATTTTCTCAATGTCATATATTTACGACATCGGTTCCCAATGTCAACGACTTTTTTATTTCATGTACAGGATGTCCCGTAATAAATTGCACAAAAGTAATTCCTAGTTAAGTTTCTTGACTATTCAGATGCCAAAAATTTTTTGTACATATTTTAAATTTTTTTTCTGCCTGTACTTACTTTTTTTTATGCAGTGGATGCAAATATTGATATTTTTTAAGTACCTTTTCGTTAAAATGTAGCTAGATAGATTCTTTATCAAGTTTTATGTCATTTTTGGGCAATAACATTGCATCTCTATTTTTTTTAAATAGTATTTCAAAACTTTATTGCATTTCATATGGATGACTCAAATTAAAAAATCCTCGTGATAAAAAAATGCATCACACCAATGTGTAATTAACATTAAGTGATGTAGATAAGGTCAATAGCAATAAAAAAAAATAAAAACAATTTGATTAAGTGCCTAATGAAATTATTTTAATTTCATTAAAAAAAATCAAAGTGACTTGAGGTGTTGATAATACTTCTGGGCCGACTTTACCAGTAAAATCGAGTTTTGAGAGTTCTTATATGTTATATTCGCATATATCTACCTAAACAAATAAGAAAATAATATCAGATTGTATGCTATTTAATAGAAAATGTATAATGTCATACAGGTATTACACTGGGCTCTGTCAGTTTACACTAGTAATTGGGACTTCATGTAATACCTGTATGACATTCAGATTTCACCATGGTTTTCGTAGTTTTCATACGTATTTCCACAATCAGTGATACTCAGATAATAAAACAATTCAAATCCCAAAACGAATAATAACAAAGGCTTATAGAAATCGTTCATATTTTATTAAAAATTTCATTATTACTAACCACTTGTTCCCGGTCGCGGCGCCGTCGCTAGTTCAATTAAAGATAAAAAAATATAAATGTCACTTCACTAGCCAATCACAGCTAAGAATGATGGACAGATGCACCATCTAACTAACTAACGTAAAAGTTCTGGTAAATTTCAACAGATAGCGTTGATTTATATTTTTTTGTTTTATGTAATAAATATATGACGCCAGGCCTCAGGAGGTTAAGACTAACTTAAAAGATTCTAAGTTATTGTCATAAAAATAAAATTAACAAGTAGTTATGATCATAAAAGCAAAATAAAATTCATCTTTAAATTAATAAACGTAATGATAAATTCCTGAAATATTATGAACCCACTGGTCTTGGGATTTAGTGAAGACCGTGAAAGAAAAAAGTGATATTGCACTGGTTCTTAATTTTGTCTCTCGTGCATATTCAAAAACACTAATGGTAAATACGCCACCATTATATTTTACAATTATTCGGCAAATCGCTTACAAAATATTATAGGTACTGCCAAACATGACTGTTCACTTTCCCGCCAAGCTGTGGGCGCGATTTCTGGCAGCGCCATCTCTTGCAACATGATATCAACTTATAGCCTGACCAGAGGTGCGATTGTGTAAAGTTGTTCATGGATGGACAATGAATACAATTGATCATCGATCGTATATCTAAATTCGAATTGTGTAATTTTGTCCATTCCATGAAGACCGAAAAGTGACCGGTCGTATATAATCGTTTCATGGATTTGCGTTTTATTAATGAAAAACATTCGCTAAAACTCATTATTTTTTAACAAATAACAAATGAAATCCATGTTCAAATGCAGTTTTTTTTAATAAAATTTTATGATTGCACCTTAATAAAATACTTTTATTCATAAAAACATTGAATTCGAATTAAAAATTTACCTCTGCAAATCATATAACCAAACGCATAGAACGAATGAAATACGAGTTCCACTACCCGCCCCCAGGTGGCATACATACTTTAAGGCTAGGCAGGCTAAGTTGAATACTACTCTACAATAGGTGGCGTTAATGGACTACGAAAAACGACGTGAAATGCTTACTTCTTTTTATTTATTTATACTTTAATGCCAAAATTTTAACCTAAGGCGAACTTAATCTCACATTTAATAAATTAAACATAAATAAGTGTTTTGAGAAGTAGTATTTTAATCATGTTTATCGTATAGTACAGTCCACTATGAAAATTAGCTGTGGTTTGTTTCAACTACCTATTTTAAAAATTTTGTCACTTTCTAAGTGTTGAATTTTATGGAATTGGGAAAGAAGTACCGAGTTTGAAGCGTTCATGAGCAGACATTGCAGTTGAATATTCAAGTTCTGAATTTGATTATTGATGAATAATAAAATAAATCTACTAGCTCGATTGATGGTTTCATTTAATTTATTTAAATCAGGTTACCTATAATAATATAACTTTAAGAACAAAAACTTTTGCACGTCGCATGCGACAGAATATGCTGGAATTAACTAAATTAACACCAATCTAACCATGTTCTTGCAAATAAATGATTTTATTATTATTATTGTTACGTTTTCTTTATTTTTACTCGAAGTCCCTATGGTCTTCGGTTTTAACCATAACTCACGGGCTCATGCCAAGTGAGTTAAGTTATTATTATTATTATAATATTTTTTCGTTAATTTATGAAAATATCAAATTAGCCCGTAATCCTGAATTCTGCTGATACATAAAGTTAGCCTATTAATTTAACACAGGTACGACTGTACTCAGTGTTGCACTATCAAATGCAATTGAGGCGCCTCTATGCCAGGGTTTTTATGTTCCTGGTCAGGCTATATCAGGATTCAGGATTACGGGCTAATTTGATATTTTCATAAATTAACGAAAAAATATTATTATAGGTAACCTGATTTAAATAAATTAAATAAAACCATCAATCGAGCTAGTAGATTTATTTTATTATTCATCAATAATCAAATTCAGAACTTGAATATTCAACTTCTTGTACTTCTTTCCCAATCCCATAAAATTCAACACTTAGAAAGTGACAAAATTTTTAAAATAGGTAGTTGAAACAAACCACAGCTAATTTTCATAGTGGACTGTATAGTTCCAAAATATAGTTCCAAAATACTGGACTGTCCTGTCGATGACATTGACAGTGGGGCGCCACCGTCAATACCAGATCGCTGGTTCAGATTTTTGCCATGTTGGAAACCATATAGTTGAACGATGGTAGCGCCCCCCTGTCATTGAGTTTGGTGGGACAGTTCAGCGTGGGTCATCTATACTGAACTGTCCTATGCATGACATTGACAGCGGGGCGCCACCGTCAATACCGGATCACTGGTTCCGATTTTTGCCATGTTGGAAACCATATAGTTGACCGATGGTAGCGCCCCCCTGTCATTGAGTTTGGTGGGACAGTTCAGCTTGGGTCATCTATACTATACGATAAACATGTCAGTCAATTTGACAACCTTTGTCGGAAACATTATTCAATGAAAATATTGGCGGAACCCTTAGTATTTCTCTTCGAAAAATACTTTAACACATTGTGAACCACTTTTCTTTCACGACTATAAAATAGTCGTGAAAGAAAAGTGGTTTTATTAATTTTAACAATTTAATTCATAAAACCAATTGCGCACATTTAAAATAAAGTTTGTTTACACTTTGACAGCAATAGACTGACATGCAAGGTGACATGTCAATGAAGTTTTCAGTTACTGTTGCCATTATAGATGACCCACGCTGAACTGTCCCACCAAACTCAATGACAGGGGGGCGCTACCATCGTTCAACTATATGGTTTCCAACATGGCAAAAATCTGAACCAGCGATCCGGTATTGACGGTGGCGCCCCACTGTCAATGTCATCGACAGGACAGTCCAGTATTTTGGAACTATAAAAGAAATTAGTACCATTAGTTTTCCGCAACATGGCGAGGGTTTTTATGTTCCTGGTCAGGCTATAATAGCTTTCATCATGTCAGCCATAGGACGTCCACTGCTGAACATAGGCCTCCCCTAATGCTTTCCACGTTGATCGATTGGTAGCGGCCTGCATCCAGCGCTTCCCTGCTACCTTTACGATGTCGTTGGACGTCCCGGACGGACGACGAACTTAATAGCTTTAACAAAATAATTTTGGCAAATCATCACTGCATTTAATGAAACGTATAGTTCACACGTTATCCGTAGCGGCGCTAGTGATAGCGGTTAGAGTAGGCGAAAAATATATTATAGCGCGAGTGCGAGTGAAATAGATAATTTTCATGTGACACCACATGTCAACAATAGTACAAAGCCGTCAAAATCGTCAAATTAAATTTGACGTTTGTTTGCTAAAATAAAATTGTTGTGGTGTGTGGATGATACGTTTTTGCGTTGCGACCAAAAGTTTTGTTTTGTTGCTTTAACTTAGTTCATAGTGATTAAGTTCTTAAGTATATTTTTGATTTCAATGAACATCTGATCATAATGGGCTGCCTAACTTGGATCAGAGGTAAGACATCCTCCTACTTGTTAATGTCAAATCGTCAATAATAGGGAAACAGCGAATTAGTGTTACATAGTATGGAAGTTTTGCATTACAAAAGCAATTAAAAAGAACTATTTGTGTACGTCTTCCAATTGTAAATATTTTCAAAGCAGCAAACTATGTTAGTTAAGGTAATTCAGTAGGTACCTACTTAGTAACATTGGTGACCTTAGTTCTTCTCTAAACCTACTACATATACAGCTATATTCCGTGGATGTGTTGAAACCTATGGCGCAGTCCTAGTACCCTCAATTGCCTAGAACATAGTATTAATAGTACATTAACTAATGTATTCTTAAACCAAATGACCCCCCCTGAAGATACCCTATACATGTAACTACTTAGCATCATGCTATCTTTGATCAAAGATTTAAGTAAATTGAACTTAGTGCCATGATATAATACTAGCCTATTAGGCAAGATTATTTGCCATTACCATGGTTTAATAACATTAAGCTAGACCTTGTCTATGCCATTAGCTAATTATTGAAATACCTATTAAGTATACCTTGATTACAAACTATGGAATGTTAAAGTTAGGCAACTGATTGATAATGTAAATGTACTACCTACTACTATTTAGGATCAAATCAAAATATGTAACTTAAAAATATTTCCCAGATTAATCTCAAAACCTTTGGGCTCTGTTGAAATGAATATCCTAAGTTATTTTAATCTTTGGATAAGATTATGTAAGGAAAAAGAAATAGAAGAAAGTAATTAATTATGAGTTACCTATATTAATGTATGTATTTGTTTCAGGTTTCAAAATATCCTTTCCCTTTAAAGACAAAGAACTCAATAAAATAGCTGCTTTCTTCAATGTGGCAACATTTATTCTGACTTGTGCTGCTCTAGTGCAGCCTAGTTGGTTCAGGATCAAGGGCTTACACTGTTCTCAGAGTTTGTCCCTTGTTCAGTTCTTCACATTTGACGATGATGATGATGAAGATGATGATATAAGCATTCACCAAAGCTCTATATTTGATCCAATGAAAAATGATTTCAATGGTAAGTGCTATTCAATACACTTCTCAACATGAAAATTTTGAACTATTATGTTGCTATTTTTACTATAAAATTATGACTCCACGGGAACGTTGGGAGGGTAAATATCTTAATTACCATTATAAAAAGTTTTGTTGTAAAATACGGTGGAGTGATAATCTTATATGAAAATTTTGTTGAAATATTTATTAATTTATTTAGATATATTTAGGAATAGGGAAACATTAATGATATTTTATACATTCAAGCTAGTTTGCATAAATTGAACACTTTTCTTGGAATTTGTATTTGTAATTTGTAAAAACGAAAAAGCTTTTCAAGAATGGGCTTTAGCATACTGTAACTTGCATAATTCAGATGAAATGTATTTACAATTTCAGGTTTGCCTCCGTGCAGTACACCAGAGATAATCACTTTAATGAGAATACTAATTTTACTCTGTTTTATGGTGCTACTTTGCTCTTTTGTTGGCATTGTTATTAACATCACAAGTTTGGAAATCAGAGCCATAAAGACTCTGCGGAGAAACGCAGTCCCTAGCATTATGTGTGTCTTCTGGGTCATCGCAATAGTAGGAGTGTGCTACTACACAACCGTTGTGTTAGGGAATGAAAACAACACGGATCATAATACAATACAAGTGGATTATGAATATGGCTTTTATACCATAACTGGAGCAGGTCAGTAAAATACGCTTTTTATGCGCCTTTTTCCTGTGATGCGAATTTTTGTATGTTTTCCCTTATACGCACGCACATTGCGAATAGGAAATATATGTATGAAACAATGAAATGCGGGTCCACATACGGACCAAATGCGACGCGTTCCGAAATCCACATCACAGGAAAAAAGCACTTTTATTGAATAGTAATATTTAAACAAATAAAAATTTCTTATGATTATAACTATACTCAACATCAAATAAACCGCACCTTCCGCGACGCGAACTTTAACGATTTTCTTCTGACACAATCATGGTGCCCCAATAATATTGGTGTTATTTGAAAGCCCAATAAATATCCTTAAAGAAAAACACATTTAATTTCTTAATAAATGATTAACATATACCATAAATGTGACTTGAAAAAATACCTCACTTTGGGCCCACCTATGGGCTCAATTAGACCAATTTTTATGGTTATAAAACCAAATAATGATCTCACGTGTCCTCTTTAACAGATGGATAGCGATTAATCCCAACTTAACAGTTTTATAGCCATAAAAGTTGGCTCTAGCGTAACTACCTATTTTTTGAAGAAGTGACTCTGGATCCTTCTAAAGACACATTTTTGGGGTAAAAACCTTTCCTTTAATGAAATGAAGGTTAGAACTAGGCTTTCAAATGGTGCCAATATTGGTGGGAAGTGGGGAAGCATACGTTTGAAAATGCTTGTCGCGGGAGGTGCGATTTATTTGATGTCGAGTGTATATTAATTATATTCCCTTTCCTTCCAATATTATTAACATAAAATATAATTTTTTCAGGAACATTAGCTCTGTTAGCATCGGCTGCAAATCTGTGGGGTGCTCCTTTGTCAAACGATGAAGATGTCCTAACACGAAACCTTATGGAAGACTGGGACGGTTTAGATGCCCACACCGTTGGCCCCACCCCTGCAGTCCCGACTCTTCCCCCTTACACCCCCAACGCAGATTATATACCTACAATTCATACAAACTACGCCCCACCTACTTTAGGGACACAACAATACTTCCCTTTTGATGATCTATCAGTGTTACCACCACCACCCCCATATACGCCATGAAACTTTTTCTACTCACTCTCAACATTTTGAAATCATACTTTCTATATTTAACGATCTCCTTATCATTTTCTTAATTTTAATTTTGTGATGGTAGCCATGGGGATTGTAATGTTGTAGGCTAACATGGTTGAGATTGTTGTTTGTTCTCTTGAATCATTTTCACTAAATTAACACTAATCCTAAGTGTCTTCTGCCCACTTAAAAATATCTTGCTATAAATCATTATTTGTCTCTGAGGTATGTTTGACCAGGCAAAATAACTGGGTGGTGCATGGTATTGATATTTTATGTATGTAGTTAAACCCTTGGGCTAGTTTCAAGTCATGCATTGACTGTAAACTGGAAATTAGCCACTAACTAAAAGTTAGCTAACATAATAATATAGTAGTTAACATAATACGAAATAGCCAAATATACTTGTTAAAAGAAACCTAACAGTAGAAAATTGTGAGTCTTGATAAAATCGAAATAATTTGTTCTATGTATATTGTGGTTGTGAGATGATTACATTAATGACAACTGTTCACTTTGTGATTTGCCATTTTAGTGCCTAATCGTATCGTGTTTCTCATGATGCTTAAACATTTACTATAAAATTTGTTTCGACTAATATAATTGTCTAGATTGGATTCATTATTTGAAATAGAATTTGGGTCAGAAAATCAACCCTTGAATATGTACAGGAGTACCTAAAGGTAAACATAATTACCCTTAGGTAATGTTGTAAATAATGTAGAGTGATAATGCCTAAATAAATGATTAAAGCATCACATTAAGACTTCAAGTATACAATGTTATTCTACTTCAAATAATTGGACCCATCAAGACTGTAATTTGCACCCTAGATTAAGATTTATTTCTGTAGGTAGTTTATACTTATTTATATAAAACTATGCCTTCTCCAAAATGTTCAAAATTTAATGTTATAGCGTAATTATTTTAATTCCAACAGATAGAAAGACGGAAGTTCATCGTTCATTTCCCAATATAACTTAATAGTAAAATATACTTACTGCATTTTATCAATATGTGTATGAAATATAATAAAGTGTGTAGGCAATATAGAAAGAATAATAAACTTTCCAAAAGGTAAAATTTAGAATAATATTAACCAATAACCAAATAACCTGAAAGTAGTTGAACAACAACAGTGTTTAACAACAAAAATAAGTACTTTTATTTGGTAGGGAGGTATGTACTGTCTATTTATCCTTCACCATAAGACAAGTTTTGATTGAATTCAACTTCCTAATGTTATTATAGATCTACTTTAGATTTTATCAAACAGAAGTAAAGCTATAATAATGAGGTGCTATTTATGTATGTATTACATTTCTATTTTAGCTTTTATTTTCCTTTTTTATAATGTTAATAGTATAATAACCTGAAAACCCATCATTATGGGGGATGAATAAAATTGAATCTTAAAATATTTTCCACAGTTGGAATAATTTAGACATTTCCTCCATTATTGTGATAGGTTTTAATTGTAGGTCTTAAGTTTATTTGAGTGTGAATTGTGTTATAAGACTTATGTTTCATTTCATTAATCTTTAATAAAAATGAGCTTTTAGATTACACAATCAAAAGATCTGAGTTTTTCAATAAATGGACGATGACTAAATTGTGTATGTACATTAATATTCTAACAATAATAATAATTAATAGTACTGGTAGCATCTGATTTGATGTAATAGATTCTGATTAAATGATATTCTATGTTACCAAAAATATTACAAGTGTTATTAGTTCTTGTTCGTTAATGTATAGAATTCTTCTAGGTGTAAGAATAGTTATTCCTAGTGATGAACTGGGAAGTTTATTTTTACATGTAAAACAAGAGTAAGATTTTATTTTTGTGTAAGACCAATATGCAATACATATCTATAAATAAATCAGTCTGTTTGTTATTTTCTACAGCATTCCTTTCATCAAAAAATAATAAAATTAATTAATGAAAATTCCTCATGTCTGTATGTGAACTATTCATTTTTAGAATAGAATAGAAATCATTTACATCATTTATTTAGGCTTTACAACGTTTGCATTTGTCACACATACATAATTAAAACATTTATATTATTAAGATTGCATAAATAAGGATCTTGCTATGAAATCATATTTTATTTACATTAATATTAAAATATACATCATGGGAAATCAATAATAAACCAGCACTTATAGCACATCAAAACTGACAGACGAGTGATATAAAAACAAACTAGAGATGCAAAAAATATACAATGTCTATTAAAATTCTTCTATTGTTGCTATAACAGGATTGTACACAGTCATTGTACACAATTGAAATTATAATTAGTCATTTCTTAGTGCATTCAGATCAAAATGAGGCTGTTGGGTAGGCCTGTTGCTAATTGGTTTACTCATTTCAGTAATAACAGGTAACTTCTGGGCTAAATCTACACTATAACCATCTCCCGTTGTGTTTACACTGTTTCTATGGCTTATTTCATATGATGAAGGCAAATTTAAGTATCTAGTTCTTTCTTTTTCTAAATAATTCACCTTTTCTTTCAAAGTTGTATTTTCATCTTTCAGCACTTCTACTTGCAATACCAGTTGTTCCACAAGAGAATGCAGATTTTGGCTCAATGTCTGTAATTCTTCCACAACTGTTTGTGGAGTTTTTTCTTTCTTTCTTCCATCTACAACATCTTTAATGGCCGTGTCTTTTGCTACTGGTTCATTTGCTTTCTTTGTTGACAGCATTTGCAACAGTGAATCTGTTTCATTTATTGTCCTGTATATTGCTACTTGCACTTTAGCATTATCATTAGCTTGTAAATTGTAGAAAGGATCTTTACCTAAATTTTTAATGTTTTCTAAGGCTTTCTTGACTCTAGCATATTGTTCTTTTTTACTCTTGATTAGATCCTTTTGTTTCAGATGGTAGCTGTGTTGAAGTGTGATGGATTCTAAAGCTCCCGAAGAAGTGGTAGACTTCATGGCATCCAAAAGCAATTCAGCCGCATTATGGTGACACTGCATAGCTTCATCGTATCTGTAATTTATTATGTGGGCTTCAGCACGACGATGTTGTTGGTGTGCCTGAAAACCACGTCAAATTATAAACGAGAACATAGGACTTCCTTCAAAGAAGACGCAAAATGTTAACACATTTACCAGATTTAAAGGATGGGATTCCATTGAAAATACTGCAAACAATTAAAATTTCTTCTATGAAAACGAATGTTTTGTTGAAATCAGCTGCGATTGTTTTGCGCAAGAAAGAGAAGAAAAATTATATTATAGCTGTCATAGCTGTCAATGTCAGTCAACTTTTTTATGCTAGAGTTGACCCCGCGATCATAATAATCGTATTATTATCGTACCATGTAAGTCACACGTCTAGTATACGATACGATAAATGAACAATTTTAATTGATCTTTTGCGTTATAAAATCCTTATAATATGGCTTATCCACTATATTTTAAGCTCGTCTGGTAAATTTTTAATTTTAAGACTTTAGACCATTTCTCAAAGTTATTTTAAATTTTCCGATGATGGGCGACCTCTATGACAGCGATGTATGAAATTTTGAATACAACTAAATAAATTCTTCTTGTAACATATTGCAACCTTTTTAAATAATTATCTTGTCATGGCATGGACAATTAATTATTTTTTTTTTTTCGAAAAAAAAAAGTGTTTACGCTTGATTACGCTATTCACTGAAATAATTTGAAGAAAATAATTAATTCCAAAGTATTTTTTGGACATGTCTAAGCAAAGATTTTCTCGCGCCTGGTACAAGAAAAGTCAAGAAATACTCAAATCTACTGAGATGTCAATTGCTAAAAAAATTTTGGCTTATAAAATATTTTTACGTCCGATTCTAATGTACGGTTGGTTTGAAGAACAACCTTCGCAGCTCAAGGTTCTTGAAATTAAGGCTCTTCGACAGATATTTGGTAATTCTAACGAGAAAAATCTCTATCGAAAATATACGGATATTGATGTAGTAAGCTACATGAAGCTACAAGATATCCGATGGCGGAGGACCACTGGTTCTGGAATAACGAGTATCCGGCGAAAGTTTCATACGATTTTCGATGCTGATGATCCATCTTCATACTTTTCAAAGGCAAGTTTGTGCAACACATCTAAAAGACGAAGACTGATTAAAGCTGATAATCCAGGAAGTGAAACAACAATCGATACCGTCCGTAGAAGCCACCGGTTAGCGATTAAAGCCCAAAATAAAAAGCCTTGAAACTGCAATGGTATCATTTTATTGATCTTTTATTTAATCTTAATTATTCTAACTCCACGACATCACACAGCGATTACTTATGTTCACGATTGAACTATTGTGGTGTGGTGGATTAGGTTTAACCTTAGCCAAATACTTATTTCAATATTTAGTTCAACTAGGCGCTTCACGAGTATTCTGAACTGTGAAGCTTAACTCGTCACTTGATTCTCGTATTGTCAAAGAATGATTTTTAGTTCTGCTTGCAATAGACTCGTCGCGTGCGGTATTTGATGTAGGTGGTGGTTTATCCCACCAGTGGACACGCTTACGACATTTCTTAGAACGCCTTCCCAGCGCTCGTTCTTCTATTCTTAGCAAGCTCTTCCAAGATAGTCTCTCATGACGAACATGGTCCACAATATCCGTATCCCTGTACCTTTTATAAACGGCTCTCATATTGGGTCGCAACCTTTTAGGGTGTCTGTGTGGGTACTTTGACTTGTATATTTCTAAAAGAGTAGCACATTCAAAGCGAAGCAACTTCTTCGACGATCGGTCATCTAGAGCCCACACTTCACATCCGTATGTAAGGATAGGTCTGACAAAAAACTTGTAGAGTTGGAACTTGGCTTGACAATGCAGGTCCGGGTCACACAGCATTTGCCAATATTTTTGGCACCACAGTCGAGCACACCTTATTCTCTCGTTGATTTCTAACACCATGTCTTCTGCACTCAGTTGTGGTATACCTAATTTAAGTTCAGCACGACTTCTGCTTTGCATTTCAAATTTAAACAAGGTTATTTTTTCCTGTAGGAAGGTTTCTGTGGATATTAGAAATTAGGATGTTGTTCAGAATGATCTCATATGTATGGGAATCGCAAACCATGAAATTGTCATTTAGATTAGTGACGTAAAACTTCATAATCAGTCACACCTTATCACAGATTCAGTTTGCTGAATTTTTTTTAAAGGTAAATGTACACTTATTCGAAAAAAGATACCAATCAGATGGTTTAGTGCATAAAGTGCATTGCATTTTGGTAAGTCTTAGGCCCAGTTTCCACCAAGGCGGAGCGGAGCGGAGAAGTGTTTTGAATATGGTTTTAAATAAACTATCAGATTTAATTATGTAATTCCATTTCTCTTCTCCGCTCCTGGCTATACAGGAGTTGCAGTGGTGAAAAAGAGAGATTACCAAGTCCCATTTACCTATTAATTTTAGACCATTAAGCTTTAATAGATCATTCATTCTATCGACTCTATAAAAATTGGCAGACTGGTTATGTAATGGCCAAACATACAAGGGTACTTCTCATTTACACACAAATTTGATGGTCACACAATAATAGTTCATAAACGGTATAAGTTAAAGTAATAAATAAATAAATAAATAAATAAATAACTTTGAAATCAGATGATAAAATATCTATTTAGCTACATACAAAATAAAATTTATCGTAATAGAAGCAAAAATAATACGAAAACATCACATGAAACGATAAAAAACGGGGTCATTTTTCGCGTTCTCATCGTGTCACACCTTCGGTTGCAATGAAACATTTGGTTACTGCATTCACAATTTTCATTCAATTTGTGTGTAACATATACTAAAATCATCGTAATGAAATATACTTTCCACACAACAGTCAAAAAAATATCTTCTTATAATTATTTCGAATTGAGAAAGCGAAATACGTTGGTCACACGATTTTAGGTACCTAAAATTTTGAGTAATAATACAAGATTGCCGTTAAACCAAACACCAGCAACCAATCACAGCGTTCTATTCGGTTAACGTCAGTCGCGCTCCGGCCATTGGGGAGGTGAAATAGGTCGATCGTCGCTCCGCGAAAAAAATACGTAACTTTTTGTGATTATCCATAGACATACCGTCGCTTGTTTGAACTATATTTTCTACCTCTAAAATTTAAACAATTTAATTGAAACTTAGGCCATTTAAAACTTAACATGTTAGACTTATTTGTGTAGTATTCGACTTGAACCGTTAAATTCAAATTTAAGGATAATTCATAAAAAACTAAAATTTTCGTCACCTTCGTGGCATCACCTTCGTGGTGTTTTATACACGAAGGTGATTTTAGGCCACGAAAGTGATTTCTTGCTTTGGTTTATTTTAAAATATAGTGACTGGTGTTTATGTTTTTACAATATTTTAATAACTAATAAATTAATACGTGGTAAGTAGAGTTCAGTACATCAATAAAAAAATAAGGGCCTCGTATTTTTGTTGTCTGTCTGTCTGTATGACTGTATGTATGTCTATAATATGTGACTGTGTACTGTTTGTAAGATAAATTTAATCTGAATTTTGAGTTAAAAGTTGTACAATAAAAATACGGGGCCCTCTGGCCTCAATAAAAATATATTTTTGTTGAGGGACTAATAATCAGTTAGAGTTCTTTTTATTGAGGTACTGATAATCCTTTTTTTGCTTCTTTAGCATTTCAGAATGCCACCAGTATCCCCCTTAAAACCAATTGCATAGAATCTTGTAATTTAGTAGGTGACGTTATCGGTAAAATTTTATCTTGTATTTAAGTAGGTACTTATTTATATTATGTTATTGCTATTTATCTATGAAAATTAGACAAAATATATGTTTTATAAACACTTAAGAGTCATTTACAGTAGTAAAGTTTGAAAAAATTATTGCTGTGAAGTACAGAATCACTTTCGTGGCATCAAAAAATTCAAAACGTTAAATCTTCCAAACGAGACTCACTATTTGACTGATTTACTGAGAATACACTCTTCACATCAAGCGCTACAATTTTTGTTTACAAAAAGTTGAAATAAGTTAGAAATAAAATTTGCCACGAAGGTGACGATGAGAACCGTGGCGATGAGAAATACCCACAAACTACACTTGTACCTCTGTTTCTGCTTTCGTTTACGAACAGTTTGTTTGAAACTAATGCGTCATACCATTGTTAACTGGCAATGTTTAACTAACATTAGGCAAATTGAAAAAGCTGACTTCACCGTTAGTAGTATTAAATTGATCTTGCTACACACACGGAGGCAAAATGCTTTCTTTGCTCTCGAGTATTCTCCTCATATTTTCTTTGAGTTGTGCTAATGGGGCATCACTACAATGTTCCGTCACGGACGTAAAGAGTCTTCTGGAGGGATGTGACAGGTTGACCGGTCTAAACGTGACCAGCGTGGGGGGAACCATGGTCAATGACCACAACTGCGACGTCTTGCTTCCAAAGCAGGTGTTCATACAAGAACCCTTATTCCAGTACGCGTTGGCTGATTCGGTAATACAATTCATCAACTTTAATTCATTCGGTTAGAATGTTATCTAATCTTTGGTTAGACGGTAATCTTTACTTTTTTTCTATAGAAAAAGTTCTACACAATAATTCTAGTGGATCCAGATGCGCCACCACAAGTGGAAGGGGAGTTCTACTTGCATTTGCTGAAGTCTAACATTCCTGTAAGTAAAAAGATAACCTGCGTAAGTTCCTGTTCATTAATTTGTATACTTGTACCTACCTACCATACAAGACGAATATCGCTTATGTGCAAAATGCTTCTCTGACTTAAGTGTTAACTTTACCTATTTCATAATTAAGTTACACTTCAGAAAGAATCAATAAGATTTTAAATTATTGTCTTATAATCATTTTCAGGGGCTTGCCTTAAAATCAAAGGACAGCAGCAAAACTTCAGGCATTGATTACCGAGGTGAGATTAATTAAAATTTGATTTCTAGTTTAATGAAAAAAACTGTGTACAAATACAAATTGTGATAAAATTGGGTACGTTATTACTTATGTAAACGTCGGTAGGCAACGAGTTTAGACACCTAAGTAAACATTAAGTAAATTTTATTCAGCAAGTTACCTATGGCTCTATCACATTTTAAAAAATACATTTGAGGTAAAGTTAAGTTGGTACCGTTCGATTTAGAGGCAAAGTTATTATCATGACATAAAAAACTCACTAGTGCTAATAGATACCTACTAGAATGTCTACTTACTAGTATCTATTACTGTAAATTTTCCATAAACTTTCCCCAGGTTACAAGCCGCCAACGCCACCTCGCGGGACCGGTCCTCACCGCTACTTCGGCCTTCTCTTCGAGCAGGCGGATGGAAACAACTTCTTGCCGACCGTGCCATCGACGCGCTCTCGCTTCGTGCTAGCCAACTGGCTCCGAGGGAAGAACCTCTGTGGACCCGTCGCGGGCACTTTGTTCCGATCGCAGTTTTAGATGGCGCTAGTAGTAGAGTTTTAAGCTCAATCTCTACAAAGTTCGAAGTAATTTGAAAGTCGATTATATTTTCTTAGCGATGAATTAGTAGGAGCGTACCTAATTATTGCAAATGAACTTGCTTTAAGTATGTAGTAATTCATTTGTGTTGAATTTAGTATCTGTCGTATAAGGCTTTTACGCACCCCCCCAGGAAAGTTTTCCTATAAGATAAAGTAAGCATCCTAACAGTCTAAATCTAGCTCCAGATTATGTGTTACAACATAAACGTAGTCGCAGGCAAGTGTACAATTGAAAATCTTGTGAACTTACGAGAGCAGGTATCGACCCAAACAAAGTTTACCATGTTTTAATTAATAAAATAAATTATTTTTCATCTTATTTTTTCTTCTCCAGCCTACCGATTCTACTTACTGATGCGATGGTATATTTCCCTTTTCTTAAATATTGAAAGTCTCCTTATTAGGCATTTGATACCTATTTTATTCTACCAAGTACCTAACTCCTTTCGTAACTATGTGCAATCGAAACAAAAAACATACGCCTTTTGTTTCGTTTCAACAGCCAAAGAAAAATGGCTACGTAAGTCGCGTAGGCTGCGCACGCGACTGCCTCTAACCTACCGGTAGGGTTGCCAACGGTTTCATTGCAAACAGGATTCACCATTCCTAAACATTTTCAATTTAATCGAAGTTTGTTTTCTTCCTTTATGTAAGCTAATAAGTAAGTAAATATAATAGAGTTCTGTTCCTTAGTATACTCGAACTATTAAAACATTTTAACAATCATTAGGTACGCAAGTATTTCAAGGTTAGTGAGATAAGAGTGACTAATAAAATTGGCACCACATAAGATTTATCTCTAATCCTCTGAGAAGACTCTACTTCAAGAAAAGATACTGAAAATACCTTTTAGGACAATTTGTCCACGTCCTAAAAAGATTTCAGAAGTGGAAAGCCTACTGCGTCCCACACGCGGCCACCGAGCCTAATTTATATAAACAAATTATTTTCTCATCTCGACCTAACTACTGGTTTTATATCAAGTGATTTATGCTTGACGGATAGATAAAGCTGGACACCTTTATGTTCGCTGGCAAAGGGCTTTTAGCGGAATACTGTATTATTTGAGTTATGTATTCTATGTATGTAGGTTTCATAACATCTATCATCTGTCTAAATCTTTAAAGAAAAATCCTCAGTCTATCACTAAGTAATAGGTACTCGATCGTATCATCTCTGAAATTGCTAGGTATTGTATACTTGATAGTTCTTATAGCAGTCCTTTTAGCTTAGGACTGGTTTGTAGGTAATATAAAGATTTTTTTTTGGAAAATCCACAGGAAATGTCGATAATTATTACACAGCTGTTGGTAAGTAGGAAGTAATGTAAGATCTAATATAGACGACTTGTAATAACTACATCGTGTCTAGACAAAAGTCCGAGATCTTTTACTGTAGAAGTGAATGATGAATGAAAGAGAATGAACCAGTTTCTGAGAACGCAGCCGACCCTCGGTGGTCCCCCGTTTTATAGCTGCACGTAATGTTCAAATGTTATTGCCGTTGTTTTCGGATGTCGCTGCAAAAATCAGTTTACTGCTCAAGTTACACTCGAATATTGTAAGCTTGTGGGAAATTTATTTCCGCTATAAATTCCAATGTTGCAACCTTTTGTTGGGAGTCGCTTTGTTAGAATCTATGGAGTTATCTCGAATTACAGTTATAAGCCTCTATGTTTTATAGAGTCCAATACGTGTATTTATAACAATGAAATGATGTTTCGTGTATTTTTACGATTTGTCGAAACAAAACAGACGTTCTAAGTTTTACGATTATTGTTTCAACATTCGCATGCAAGGGACGACAGCATGTCAAGCTAATCTTATACGCAGTATAGAACTTCGGTATAATGATGCAGTCTTCTTCAATCATAGACTAAACCATGACTCAGGTAATACCTAACCGAAAAACAAATTCTATGGCGCCACAAAAATAATTAGCCAATTGTTTTGTAACTGTTGACTAGGTCACGACATTTAAAACATGACACCACGATACGTTAAAATAGACAGTAAATGATTAATATTCCTGGAAATAAAGTATCGATGCTAGATGAATAACCGCCTAACCGCAAATTATTGAAAACAATAATTAGCCGATGGCGAATCGTTATGAGGTCCCGCTTTTATTATTTCCTAGAAGTTTTTCGGCGCTAAATGCTTTATGAACATTGAAGTGAATTATCACTTCCTGATTACGAAATAAATGTTTGAAAGATTTCACGCATTTTAAGATTGTAGGTATAGCTTGAGCCTTGTAAAGCCTTTTGTAGCTAAAAATGAAGAGTTTAATAGTTAGAGGAAGTTAAATTATTTTCCGAGATAGAGATATTTTTATGCTTTCAGTAAAAAATAAAGTGTTTCAGAATTGTTATTTTTCTACGACTTTTTGATCATGATAAAGTTTTTTATTTGTGAAAAATATTATAAATGTGGGCGAACGCGTAGGCAGAAGCTAGTTCAAAGTATTTAAAAGGTGACTTTAAATTTTTACAATGTGAAAATATTACTGACCTGCTGGGCGACGTCAACTGCTTCATTATTTTTTCTCCCTATCTTCTTTTCTCTTACATGTTAGATATCTGATTAATAATAATTGTCACTCGCTACAATTGCCTACATGGCGTTATCGAGCTAATGAACATGTCTGTTGAAAGCCTGGCATTCTTGGCCAACGGTCAACATGTCATATCGCCGAACTCGGTTTTTCTGACAGGAAGCCCGTCTATCGTAAATTAATCGACATGGCTTCAAAGTAGTGCTGTGGTTCGTGATTTTATCGATAAAACCGTAGTTACCTTAGCTAGGTACGTAAAAGTGAGACAATCAACATAGTATGCATAATTTTTTCCTTATTTTCACATAGACTATTTTATTTGAAACTTAACAGGAGTACTCCAATCGATAAATGAATAAACAAGGGTCTCAGGAATAAAATTTATCCCATATCTACTCGTAAGAGGAAACTGGGGTAAGAAAGTCTGAAAATCAACATGGCATGGATAGGTATCTGTAGCGATAGAGTCGCCAATAAAATTACAAAAAAAAAACAATACGCGATAAACAATTTCTGTGACAGAACAAAATTCATACAGACAAAGCCGCGTGCAAAAGCTAGTCCACAAATAATGTGAAATCTGTGGTCATATTAAGGCCTTCTATGACCTAACCACCTCACTCAGACATACATATAACTAAGGAATAAACAGAGTCACCCATCCAAGACTCTATATTCAAGGTTACCGATATTTTTATCGATAGTCCCCTCACTGGTCTCCAGAAAGACCAAATTAGTGGACCGGTTTGGCGTGTGCGCGTCGCGTGCCCCGCGCCCCTCCGACCGGAAATGCCGCTCGAGAGAAACTACAGCCTGACACGTTTGAATACTGATACTGGCTGTATCGCAACATGAGAGGTTTTGGCGGGAGTTAATTAGGTAGATATAGTTTAAGTATAACTATAGTTTTAAAATATGTAGGTAAGATAGTTTCAAGTTGTTTAAATCTAAAAACAGTAAAAAGCATTATTTCCAAAAAAATAAGTATAATTTTAGATCGATCTCTGCACTGAGAGTAAGCTTGTACGAGTATCTACTATTTATTGATGCTTTTTGAATGAGGATAGACTTTGTACATACACTGAAGCACTGAAGATCTGCACCAGAACTAGATGAAAGCTTTCATAGTAAGTATTTCTATTTATTTGTTACCACTGAAAGAAAATGCTTCAGGGTTATAGGCGAAACGTTATTGTTGAACTGATCATGTCAACTTTCTGTCCATATTTATTTTAATTTGAACTTTTTTTTATCATTTAAAAAGCTTATTTAACCTTGTTCATTATCCTTCCATTCCTACCATCCAACATCACCTGATTAATATTTTAATTTAACACCTTGACATTAAAAAGACTAGCATCCAGTTTCTATAAATGAAAATACACGTGTTCATCACTGTTTGAAACAACGCTTGCGCGATACTCAATTATTCCTATCTGTGGTTTACCTTAAACCAAATTAAAATTGCTACGTAGGTACCTATATTAATTAATGTAAAGCACAGAACAATGTTAATTTTGGTGCCAATCAAAGCGTATTGCTTTTATGTGAGATAACTAGTACTTTAAAAAGCTTACTGGCTTTGAACAACGTAGGAATTTACGTAAAAGCTCCATTCACAAAAAAGATTGGTTCAAAAAATACCCAACTTACCCACATTTCAGTCAAAATTAGAAGCAGGCTTTGTCGCGGTTCCAAAGTTTCCATCCCTACGAGTATTTCATAGAAGGCCGCGCGCGCAGCTGCGGAAAACGCTTCCTTCCGGCCGCCTACGCACGCCCACGCGACGCCCGCGCGACGCTATAATATCAATCATTTAATTCAACAGCCCGATTTCTATGATAATACAAACATAATGATGTTTCTCCCGCAAGATGGCCCGTAAAATGTCATAGCAACCGATTATGATAGGGCCTATTGTGTCGGATAAAGGACTGATAAGTGGTACTTGCCTTTCAATGTAAACAACGGGTTGTGAGCATTATAAGGGGACGTGGTTTGCACTTTTATGTTTTTTGATCAGTCTTTGAATGTGCTTGATTCCAATTTGATATACGATGCTTGGCTTAAAAATATTTCCATTATTCCATCCCATTCTATGCAAAAATGGAAGTTATTTTGGACAGTAAATTAGATGTATCAAGTCTGGTAAATGTAACATTACAAAATCCAAAGAAAAGGAAATTGTGTCAAAAGAAGAAGAGAAGTAAGAGTAGGCTAAAAAATAAGCTCAAGCAAATTGGACTCTACCATATTATGTGATTTATTTACATTGCCCCAGGCTATACAGTTACAATAAAGTATTTCATCATAGGTACTTTGTTTTTGTAAAAACAGGAAAACGGAAGTAAGTAAGTAGGTAGCAATGGCGAGGGCAAAAAGAGCAATTCCGGAAAAAGGCATTAACAGACTGAAAAATACTTCAGTTTAATTATTTTCGTTTTAATACAATGTTAATGAGGAAAGGAAAACAAAATAAGGAAAATCTCTAATCGTATTATTTGTCTTACTTGGAACAGCATGATGTTCTCATGGATTAATTCTTCAATTTAAAAAGTTTACATTCACGAGCAAGCCTCTCAGTAAGTAGGCCTAGTCACTTAGCAATCTAGCGTAAGACCACCAGCTGAATGTACTCGAATCAATTGGAATTTAAACGAAAACCTTAACTACAATCACCATTCACAGTTTGTAAAGTGTGTCGTTTGTA